CGCATCGCGATTTGCGATATCTGTTAAATTATCTGGTCTTCAAAGTTTCAGTTTATGAAAAACCACGAAGTTTACGGAATAGGCGAATAAACTTTAATTTGTTAGTGAAAATGTTATGAAAAACAAAACAATAAATTTGTGACTACAAAAGTAATAATACTACAGTGTTGTTACTTTTATAACACTCTTTTATGTTACATTTATAGTTTATTGTTTGATCAAACAACACATAATCAAGATATTATAAATAAAAATGATTTAGTTAAGTAATTCCAAACTTTAATTAAAGTAGTAATGCGTCTAGAAAAAATATAATGGATATTTAAACAATGTTAAAAACCTCAACAACTTTTACGAATACATATTTTTATAAACAGTTTAGCATTTCTAAACATCTTTCAAACGGTCCGGAAAAAACGCGCGTTCACTTTAAAATCAACCAATAAAAACACTGGTAATTTACTTCTTAGGAGAAATCTATATTAGAAGGGGAGGGGGAGGGGAGGCTAAAAACTTAAATTTTGTTTTATTATTTAATCAATTAAATCATAATAAAAGTAAAGACAAAAAAGTATATTTCTAAATATACTTCTTTATAACTAAAATTTATTAAATTGAACACCTCTGTTTTTAGTTTTAAGTAAATGTCAGTACTACTCTCAGTGGCGAAACTGCGGGGGAGGGGGGGGGTTAACAGACAAAAAGTGTCCTGATTTTAAACTAATTTTAGGTTGCATGGGCGATATGGGGCTCATTTTGAAAATCGTATTATTTGTTTATAGCAAGTCACTTGTTTTAAAAAAAAAACTATATCTCAAAACAAAAATTCAGTGAAAATTGGCCTTAAAATTAAAAAAAATATATATTGGTAACCGATAAATAATAAAACTTTCATTGTAAATTTTCCCGCTTTTTTTTATTATGTCCTCCTCCCATTTTATACATCCTGACTAAAATTGGTTTTTCATAAACTGAAACTTTGAAGACCAGATAATTTAACAGATATCGCAAATCGCGATGCCTTAATTCAACCCTTGATGTTTTAATACTTCCTCCATAATTCTATTGGACGTCTTTCTTTTTTTTTTTTACAAGACAAAAGAAATTCAAAATTCTGTTTAGCGCATGCGCGTTGTACAGTGTACAAAATAAGGTAACTATTCGTTGTTTATAATATAAAGTGCTGGCTATTAACCCATGCATTTAAAAATATATGCAAGTCCGTCGTACAACAGGGCTACTATATAAAATTATTCTTAAAAAATATTTTTCTTTGTTGTAAGGAAACTCGCAGAAAACTAAAATAGTCTTTTTATCGAGAACCTTGAAAAAATAAAATAAACTTTAATGAACTAGTTCAACAAATACACATAAGTATTTTGAAAATAACTTACTTGCTTCTTCAGTATATGAAAACGGTGGAAAGTTTGGTAATTAAGGTTTTTTATAGCCATGGATAAATACGCTTTTTACTAAAATCTTCGTTAATTTTTTTTTTAATTTTAAATTTATTTTCTTTTATCTTCGTCGCGAATTTTATGATAAACTACAACATTTCTTATCGCTTATTTTCTATATAATGCCTTCATAAAGTTACAATAACGTAAATATAGTTTTAATTAAGATCTTCATCTCGGAGCACATACTTACAGTGGTTAGAGTTTAATATAAAGTTGTAGCCCACTCTTACACTTATCTTTTGATATTTTGATATTTTTTCGCCTTTAAAATATTGTAATAATTCTCTTTCTAATGATATATAACATTATAGTATTCAAAAAAAATGATGAAAGTACTTTGTTACACTATAAAGACAATGATTGCATTGCTGTTGAGGTGAGATATCATAAAACATGTTACAATAAATATACAAAACTTTATAAATTTTAGATACCACTATCAGAGACATCTACCAGCAGCTTAATGTATAAGTTATTCTTTGAATCATTTTGTAGACAATTTATTGACACTAAAATTATCAAGTTAAAAAAAGTTTATTGCCTTGGTTTTCTTACTAAATATTTGATAAAAATTGTTAAAAGAGTAGAAAATTTGTATGCTAGCAATTATAAAAGCTGTCACTTAAAAAAAAGATTAATGAATTGTTATCCTGATTTGGTATTTTATCAGCCGTTTTATCGCAGTCAAAGTGAATTTGTTTTTTATGGGGATATAGGTGCAGTTGTTTTAAATGAAGAAACTGATGAGCTTGATTCTCAAAATTCAAAAGAGTCTGGTCTTTCAGAAAATAATGAAACTAAAAGTAAACAAGAAAACAATTTATTTAATGTCATTCTGCGTTTCATTAAGTTTTTATGAAAATTAGAGAATCCCTTAGATGTGGAATTGGGGTTAAAAATGGTTGGCTACCACCAGATTTGGATTTTAGTTTGAAAATATTGAAAGTGGAATTCCATCTACTCTTTTTAATTTTCTGTCAATAATTCTTGGTTATACAGATGAAGTTAATTACAAGATTTATTGTTTATTTTTTCAAAAAGTAAAGCAATAACATATAAGTCTTTAGCATTAGCTGCTACTATCAAGAAAATATCTGGTTCCTGTAAACTTGTAAGAGTTTTAAATAACTTTGGACATTGTTGTTCTTTAATGACTTTGAGGGGGTTTGAAAGTGCAATTGTAACTTTAAACTCTAATTGTGAATATTTAGTTGTACCAAAGAATATTCAACAAAATATCTTTAGTGAAATATGAGTGAAATATCAGTTTATTTTCTGGGAAAAAGAATATTTCTTAACTTAACACAATTATTTGAACACTAAAATGTAGTCATAAATGCTACTGACAATTGTCAGGAATAATACAGACATCTTGATTTAGCATACATCATTTGCAAATTATCTCAGTTAGATGCTGCAGAAATATCGGCATGTTTGACAGGTTTTAATGCAATATGCTCATTATACAGTTCAAATGAAGGAAATGTTTCAACAATTACATACTTACCAATTATAAATGCTTCAGTTACTGATATATCCACCATTCATGAAATTATAAATACTGGCATTAACATAGCTAACAAAGTTTCACTTCATCAAACTGTAATGGTTTTCGACGAGACGGTTTATGCAAAAATACAGATGGTAAAATGGAAAAACGCAGAGTTTATTGATAGAATTGTTATAAGACTTGGGGATTTCCACATGGTTATGTCCTTAATGTCAGCTATAGCTAAACCATTTAAAGATGCTGGTTTACAGGTAAAACAATTTTTTTATTTATATCTGCAATAACATTTCAAGGTTTTTTGTCTTTAAAAACACTTTTACTTTTGTTTTTGCATACTGTTAAATCTATACAAATATATAATTTTTGTTTCATAAGGGTATACTCATTGAGTCTAGTGTTATTGCTTGTGGCTCATGCAATGGAGTGATGTAATAGATGTGGCTCATGCAATGGAGTGATTTAATTCATAATTGTGGTATTAAAGCTCATTAATTGATGTATGAAGCCCTTAGTCGTCTGAGGTTTCAGTTGTTTCTTGCTTCAATGGCCAGAGAAGAAGAAGCTGACATTTTAAATTTTGTTTGTGGTATGAAACAATGTTACGAAGATCCAGACTTTGATCACTATATTCAAAGTCGATTGTTCCAAGATATTATTATAAGCTATCAGACTTATGTTAATCACCAATGTACAAAGTCCCAGTTGTTTTCATTCTGGAGTGTCTACTTAGAAATGGTACAATTAATGCTGCTTCATTTAGGAGCAGTTCGTATTGGAAACTGGGATCTGCGTCTATCTACAGTTAACTCTATGTTGGGATGGTTTTTTGTTACAGATTGAATCAACTGCAGCAGATATGCATCTTGTTATTGGTTAGAAATTAACGTACTTAACAAACTCATAAAGGTATTGCCTATTTTTTCTTTTGTTTTGAAGTGTTAAAATTAACTAAAACAATTTGCTTTACAACAATATATAGTTTACTTACAAGATTATTGTTTTTTGTGTTTTTAAAACACTATAGAATAATCTTATATGTTTGATTTCAACCTAGAATAATTTCATTTTTTATGTTTGACAGATATTTGTCATGAAATAAGAGAGAACTGGACCGTTAAAAGACAGGGTATGTTTGTTCTATAGTTTGCATACCTGCTTTGCAGATATTGCAAAGACATAGACAGACATATTTTCAAAAATAAAGAAGAATTAATAAATTTTTTGTTTATTTATTGGAGTTCATTGACTACATTTTATTTCTCAAATAAGAGTGTTTATTTAACCAATGAAGATAAATATTATCAATTTATGTATATCAATTTATCAGCAAATAATGTGGTAGTATCTGATATAATCTCTTTTAAAAGTGACCATGAAGAAGCAGATACACTCTTAAAAAAATCGGTTTTTCAAAAAACCAAATTTGGTTTTACGGCTTGTCCCAATAAACGAACCAAATTTGAATATCTAGAAAACCAATTTATTTCGGTTTTTTAGAAAACCAAAGTAATTTGGATTTCTAGAAAACCAATTTGAATATCCAGAAAATCAAACTAAGTTGGTTTTCTAGAAAACCGACGCTTTTTGGTTTTCTGGATAATCAAAATTGGTTCGTTTATTGGGACAAGCCGTAAAACCAAAAACTGGTTTTCCAGCAATAACGATTTAATTAAAGTTATGTCATAATTTTTAAAACGAAACATTTATGATTATTTTACTAAACTTAGCTCCATGAGTTTTGTTTCATAGAATAGAAATAATCGGCCAGAAATTACAATTTATTACAAAAAATGAAGTTTATTAATTTTTTACCATATTTATATACGCTTTTCATATCTATATCTATATATATATATATATATATATATATATATATATATATATATATATATATATATATATATATATATATATATATATATATATATATATATATATATATATATATATATATATATATATATATATATATATATATATATATATATAAAACAACTAAAAAGTGGAGAGTTCAAAAAAAATAAACTTGATTTAAATAAAGATTTTGAAACAAATTAATAACATTAATATGTTATTAAGTTTTATAATTTAATATTATAAGTTCAAAAAACTAGCAATGTTTTGAATGTTGGCAGGAAGTTTACTCCTTCGCTCAAAAACGTAATGTTCTAGAAAAGACAGGGTTTTTTGTAATTTCTTTGGATACGCAATATCAAAAATATAATATGAGCAGATGACGAGACCCAAACCACAAGTTACATCAGGAACAGAATTGCTTAGTGTCAGCCCGTCAACTACAAGACTTATTCGTGTTGGATTTATAGCATCTCCTTCAATTTTCAGAGCAAGGGTTGGATAGATTGGATCCTAATAAAAAGAAGCATATAATTAATAAATATTAAAAATTGCATTAATCAACTTTATTAGTATATTTAAATAAATAAATATATAAATAATATATATGCAAATAATTAGAATAAAAATATATAAATGTTAAGAATATTAAAATAAATATTGCATTAAAATAAGCATTGAGTTTTTAAGTAATAAATATTGAACTGAATAATTTTTTCCATCAATTTTTATTCAAATAAAGGAATATTAAAATGACTTATATGATATAATGATATACAATCATTTAAACGATCAATAAAATTTACTAGCGTCATGGTGAACAAAAGTGCTTCTTCGTCACAAAAAATGCTTGGAAGAATTAAACAATGAAGGTTTTTTATTGTTGCTAAAAATAGAAAAATGAAATAAAAATTACAAAATTAGAGTAGTAATTAAATAATTTTTATGTTAAATTAACAATTATTACCATCACTAATCTCATCAAGTACCCCATTGCATAATGTTTGCCATCTAGCTGACAAAGGTTTTTTTAAATCTATTAACTTCTTCATTCCCTCCTTCATTCTACCCAATAATAACAAGCAGTTATTGTCAATATCTGTATTTGTTATAACTCTTGCTGCTGCAAAAAGCTAAAAATCAAATAAAGAAAACGACTTCACTACCATTAAATAAAAAAATGACTTCAAAACCATTAAATAAAAAAATATCCTTGAATTCCACCCTAATATTACAAGGACTTTTCTAAAAAATTTGGGAAGTGGTACCCTGGAGCAGCATATGTTATTTAGCTAACCAAAAATAATATTTGCAGACTTTTAAAAAAACAACACAGACAATAAAAAAGTTTAATAAACACAGAAAAATTAATTTTGAACTTCCCAGGCCAAGGCAGTAAATATATCTTTAAAGATACAACTAATTGTCTTACAGGATTCGTAGCCAAATATTTATATAAAATTCTATGAATTTTTCTTAACTTTTTTAAAAAATCAGACACATTTCCTTGACTATTTTCAACAATAGTTTTTGTAAAATGTTTGAAACTACTATCTAATGTAATTTAATGGAAATGCTAAAATTGTACATGCTTTAAATGACAAAACGTATAAAACTTGGCTATTAGTTAAGCTGGATATTAGTATGGATCTTACTATTAAGGATGAAAAACAAAATTTACTAAAACACTAAGAAAAATAAAATTTCAAAAAAAGTAAAAAGGTAGCATCAACAAAAACATAATAGCTGAATTGTAAAACGGGTAACTTAATCTGAATTCTCTGACTTTTCAAACTATCTAAAGAAGAAAAAAAAAAACCCTGACTTTTCCAGGTTTTCCATGACTTTAGCCAAAATTAACAAATTTTCCAGGTTTTCCATGTACAGTACAAACCCTACTTTATTTAGTTTTATAATTTTAATTTTTATATGTATTTTTATATATAGTTTATGTTGATTGAAAGTAAATTTCCTTATAAAAGTAATAAAACAACTGAAAAATTGTTATTTAAGTTATTGCATTAAGCCGCTATCAAGTTCATTAAATGGGCGACTTATTGCTCATATTCAGGAATGCTGCAGTTTTAAGACAACATTAAAAGAGCAATATTGATACAAAAAAATACTACATAAACCACTTACAACTTTTTCATAGTAAAGTGCTGGGAATTTATTGAGGACATCTAAAGTTCTTTCATTTCGGCATGTATATTTTAATGCCTCAATAGACAAGATAATCTGGTGAGCCAAAAATTCTATATCTGGGCGCAGTTTCTGACACTCATTCTTTATACTTTTTATAATATCTTGAGTTATACCATCATCCACATTCTATTATATAATAATTAAAATATGTAACTAATTTTTTTTATGCTATCAAATCAAATACACTATGCATTTTCTCACATAAATATGTATTATAAATGCTGTGAAATCGTGCTTACCTTATCACTTGAATGATGGCAGTGACGTTTTGCTGAGCAAAGATTAACAGACTCATTCAGCAAGACAGAATTTCGCTTACGACCAGAATTAATTCTAGACTACTTTATTTTAAACTGTGCAACTTGCTCATCATTTAGAAGAGGACGCCTAACTCGCTTAAATTTTGCCTTCAACAAATGCACAAGAAGTTCCTGACAATAGAATAAAAGAAAAAGCTTCTTTAGCTATATAACTTTGTAACACCATTGATATTATTAGTTTTAATTATACAGTTAAATACTCACAGAGCCATTGCAGTGACGAGGTTTTAGAGAAGGATACCTTAGGAAAAGCTCATTTGCTATTTCATAGAAGTTACTTGTACTTGGAAATCTATAAAACATTTATTTTAGTGAAAAGCAATAACATATTTTATCATTATTGACAGCTATGTTAAGAAATATAAAATACCATTATTTTACCAACTTTGATACTGATAATAAATGTTTACTTTAAAAATTAAAAAATTATACTATTTTAAATTATAATTTACTCAGTAATCAAAATACTTACAACCTGTACTGTTGCTTCATGACATCAAAAAAAAAATCCTTAACATACTCCTTTAGTTTTGACCTTTTTGGAATACTAAAGTCTATTTCTTTTTTTCCACAGCAGCAAGGAGAATAGGGGGCAATGTTAGTTTATCTGACTGAATACTAAAAAATAAATTCAAGACATGAATTATGAAACAACTTTTTATGTTATACAGTCCTAATAGTGTAAAATGCGTGCACACAATCTTAGCTAAATATATTGTATCAATTTAATTATTTTTTTGTTTTGTTTAATAATATAACATTTTAAATAAGATAAAATTTAAAAGAAAATAAACAAAGTTATAAATGTTTACAAACAAACAAAACATAACTTACAAAGATTCAGAAATAGTTGGTGCCTCGTTATTGTCACAAACAGGTAATAATGTAAAAGGTGATAAGGAAATTATTGCTTAGCAAAACATAGTATTATCATAATATAGGATATTCATATCATTATATTAATAGTTATATTATACATATACATATATATATATATATATATATATATATATATATATATATATATAATATATATATATATAGTTATATTATTAAAATTACTATCAACTAATAGTTAAAGTTACTATAACTATTACTAATAGTTATAGTATAAATATTGTAATCATAATGATATATCATATGATAAAAAAAGTTATACTATATATATTAGTTATAGTTACAGTAATGGTATTATTATTATTAAATATGCATAATTAGTAGTAATAATATTGCTACTACTTTTTTTAAATTATAGCTTAGCGATCATATACTATATATTGTTATAAGCAATATATACGACATATTGCTATTAGCAATATATCGTATATATTGCTTATAACAATATATTTGGTATATAAAATTATTGCTTATTGCTAAGCCTTGGAATTACTAAGGCTTAGCAATAAGCAATAATTTTATATAGCAAATTCATATATTCAAAGTTATTGCTTAGCATTACTAATAGTAATGCTAAGCAATAACTTTGGAAATAAAAACATTAGAGATATATTTTAAATAGATATAACAAATACTAACAGGTAAAAAGGTATTTGATGCCATTAATTTACTAAAATAATTGAACGACTTCTTAGAGAGTAAAATTTAAAATAGATAACAGCAATTCTAATTTTATAAGTAACGAATAAATGACAGTTATTAAATATCGCGCTTGTTTAAAGCTAATATGGAGGCTGCAAGTAAACAACCAATCAAATTTAAAGATAATAGATGAATATTTGGAAAACCAAAATAAATTAAAACCCACGCATTTATTTTCTAAAAAACCAATAGTTTTTCAAATATGAATTGTTGGAAAACCAATTTATTTTTGTTTCTCTTGCAAAAAACCAAATCATTTTTTGGATACGCCATAAAACCTTTGGGTTTTCTGTGAAACCGATCGGTTTTCTAGATAATCAATGAAAAACCAATTTTCGTAAGAGTGTACTCGATTAATGGCTCAATGTTATCATACAGCTTCATCTCACCAAAATAGATTGTAACTTGGAGTACTGACACTAATGTATTTGTCATTGCTTTACATCCTATCAAACATTTTACTTTTAATTTATTATTTGCAGCCGAAAATCAAAACAATAAATGTATAATTAATGTAAGAAAAAGAGCTGATCATTGGGGTAGATCTTTTGTAAATACTGCAATTGGCTTTCATTCTTTTACAGGTTAATTGTTTAACTTGATTTATCTCTACCTTTTATGACATGGTTTCCGATTCTTTTTTGTAAGTTTCACTTCCGTAATACAAACATTTAAAACACTGTAAAATTGTATTATGTGTTTTCCTTTTAGGATGCGATACTACAAGTTCATTTTATGGTAAAGGAAAAGCTTCAGTACTTAAGGTCTTACGGCTTTTCAGTTAACGAGTTGAGATATGAGCTCTTCAAGAGTGGCAAATACAGTGAAGAGCAATTGCCTCCAACTTCAGATGCATTAGTACAACATATACTGAGATGTAATTATTAAGCTTATATCTGGAAACATGCTACTATACCTCTATTGAATATGCCAAGTGTTTTCGAACATTGTTGGGCGATGAATGGCGGCGAATAGAAGATAAAATGACTGTCAAATGAAACTGCTTCCAATAACGTATTAAATTTTATTAATTGTAGATTCGCGACTGGTTGTAATACAAAACGATGCTTATGTCGGAGTGCAGATCATACTTACAATAGAATAATTTCAAGTAATTCTGATTCTGATATAGATGATCAACCATTGTAAATTTTTATGTTTGTAAGATAATAAAAATAAATTTAAAAAAGTTAAATGAACAATGTTTTATCAGTTGTTAAAACGATATTTCAAATTAACTTTTAGACTTACACGATAAAAATCAATTCACTCTTATATACCGATGTAAATGAATGTATAGTTAATTATATATTAAAAATATTTCATGTATTTATATACAATTTAGTATTTATGTAGTTACAGCTGCTTAGAACAGTTTTTAGATCACTATTTTATCTTATACGATAAAAATCGATTCACTCAATAATATAAAATTAATTCGTATATTTCTCACAAACAGCAAGAGGAAAACTTGGGAACTTTACAAATTCCGAATCAGTATGCTTTAAAACGGAAATTTGGAGAAAATGAAGTAGTTTTGAGAGGGAGGTCAAAAACTGATAACATTTTTATATCACGGATCGCGGTCAATTTGATACAGTTTTTAACATTAAAAATACAAAACATATTTTACGGAGCATGTAATGCCTAAAAAAAAGAAACCGGCCTTTCTATTACTAGAAAACCATTAAAGACACATCTGTGTTTAAGTTTTATATTTATAAAAGGAAAATAACGTGATGGTGCAAATCTTTAAGCCCTATACATCTTACGAGATGTGACCGTAAGATCGTAAGATCTTTGAGCAGCCGTGGTGGAATGGTAATGCACTTGCCCAAGAAACAAACAATCGATGGTTTAAACCGTACCTCTGGACAAGTTTTGTGACATTGGTTAAGAAGGAGGCATGAACTTCCAATTAAATGCTCTTCCGCAGTGCTCTGTTTCGATTTCAACTCGCGGTAGGTAGCTAGCTTTATAGCAATTTTATTTTCTTATTTTATTTTTTCCTAATGTCATTTACATCTTTAAAAATTCGATTTTTAATGTTAAGTTTATTGTAATTATCGCTAGCTACATATCGTAGCTTTGTAGCTAGCTTTGAAATATTTACAAATCTGTAGCTGGTTGATAACTAGATGTCAAAATTTTTTAGACAGCAGTTTTATCACGGTATGGCGCTAGCTACAATAGCCAGTGGGTCTTTAGCTTATTAAGCTGGCTGTTTTCTTAGCCAAATGTCTGTCTTTATCTTTACAAATATCGATAGTTTTTCGCTAACTTAAAAAAGCTAGCGATCCTCATGCCCAAATCGCTGTCATTGTCCTCATGCCCAAATCGCTGTCATTATAGCTAGCTATTTGCTAGCCGATTTTCCACCGGGCTTCAATCCAAATTTTTAAATATATCTGAAACCTATACTCCTATAAACCTACTCCTATACTACGTATACTCAGAAATTCTGTTTTCAGAATCAGAAATTAGGAATTGCGTAATGTATTACGTATATATATATATATATATATATATATATATATATATATATATATATATATATATATATATATATATATATATATATATAATATATATATATATATATATATATATATATATATATATATATATATATATATATATATATATATATATATATATATATACATTAAATATTATCGCGAGGTTAGAATTATTTTGTTCTATCTTCATGTTTTTCCGAATTGAGAAAATTAAATTCAAAGTTTTAAATGAACCTCCAGACCAAATAACATAAAAAACGCAAACAAAACCGATTTTTATCAATTTCCCATATAGGCTACCACAGTTTAAAAGAATTTGTTTTAAAATATTTAAATTGCAGGTGTCTTATTTACTACACCTTGATTTGGAGATAGAACAATGTAATACACACTTTTTTTGTAAAACACAGTATTATTTTGTTCTATCTCCATTTTGTGTAAAAAAACATATTACAAATTAATATATTGTTGCAAGATGAATTTATATTTTGGCAATAAAAGTACTCTAAGGTACATATTTGCTTTATTTAAAAAAAAAAATTATTTTACACAAGTGAACAAACTACATGAATACGTTATTTTGTCAAAACAGAGAAGATAAATAATATATTATCTTAAGATCTTTACAATGAAATAAAACTTAAGTTATAAATTCCAATAACATAACATCTAAAGTACATTGCACAGTAAAATGATATCTCAAATTAGGCAAATCAAGCATATCTGGTTAATCCATTAAAAATATAACATTTCAGAAAGAAGTCCATTTAACAACATAACATATAATACAAATATTTAGACAATAAAATAAATTATTTTAAAATACTTTTATAAAATGCAACGTCTACAGCAGACATATACTTGAACATACTTTTAAGGTCCTTGGTTTTATCACTTGAAATTTGAGCACACTGATTCAAGGTAGAAGCCATTGGTACAACTGCCAGAGGTCTTGTTATCACAGATGATAAAGAGCGCGGATTGTTAGGAAGACGCCTAATTCGTGCTTCTGAACAAACATCTGAAAACGACTTTCTGTAATATACATGATCTGAAAACTCTGCTCTGTAAACCAGATGCTTTATCTGGCTATAGGGAACAAGCTTAAAATTGAAATAGCTTGCAATAGCTGGAAAATGTTTGAAATCCAATCTTTTCATTTGGTAGACAAAAAAAGAATTTCTTCTTTGAACAGCAGAAATTGCTCTGGTTAAACCTAAAGGACTAAATATTTCAAGAAGAGCAAGTGCTCTGTCAATTTGACTGTGGATATTGTCAACCTCTTGTATACTAGAATGTCCTGGTTCACAAAACTTTTGCTCAATTACTCTAATTTTTGGGTAACATATCAAAAACTGACGCAAGGCAATGGACATGTAACTATTTCTGTTTTGAGGCACACAGGAATCGAGCCATAGTATGAGTTTATTAACATCAGAGTGGTCTGCAATTATCTTTTCTAGCAAGCATGTTACACTACTTGCAAGGTCATTGCCTGCACGACCCGAAACACCTTCATGCCAAAGCATACAATAACCTTTTTTATTTATGGAGCAATGCCCAGTTAAATTATAAGCTGAAAGTTTTCGTTTGTAAAAAATTGCTCCTACATTTGATTTTGGTAAACTTATTACATTTTCAAGGTAAATACATACTACAGCCACATTTTTATCTATAATTTTGCGGTCTTTATCTCGTTCTGCTTTAGTTTCATTCTTAGAAATAATGTGTTTGGTAAACTTTTGGGCTTGTTCCTCAGTTGGATTTACTAGATTGCGGTATTCATAGCATGTATCACATAAATCAGTTTTTGGCTTCTGAAATTCAATGTTAAAGTGATGATCAAATATGAATCTATACAAATGCTTCTTAACAGGGGCAATATTCTTTTCTTCACAATAGGTTAAGTAAAGTTCATACATCTTATTAGAATTTAAAAAAGCTTCAAAATACTCTTTTTCTGTTCTTTGACGACAGTAGTGTGATGGAACACGTGGAAATGCATTGATATGATCTGTAACCCTTTGTTTTGATGATTGATCTATAACCTTTTTGGTGTGTTTCCCCCATTTTGAAAGGGCTGGGCTTCCAGTAGTATCATTTTTTTTTTCATGATGATAATAAACTCTTCTACTACTTATAAATTAAAGTTGTGAGGTAAAATTATTTACAAACTCAAGTTTGCAAATCACCAACAAAAAAGCTATAATAAAATGAATACGCTTTTCGCGAATTTTCATTGATAGTTCGATGACGTTTCTTCTGAAGTCGTTCAGTGGTTCGACTGTAGAAATGTCTCTTTTGCATGTCGTCCATAGACCAAAAATCAGCAAATATACGTGTTCTTTCTTCATCACTAATATTTTGTGCGCATCTGAATTTACAAGAATTTAGACAGTCTTTCTTTTTAATTACAGACTTGCATGGAACATTTTCTCCCTTTCTATTTTTATACGGCTGACCAGATTGTCTTAGCTGCTTTCTCACATTCTGTGCCTAAGTTTTAGGTGCTGACTTTCGTTTTCTATTTTTTTCCCCGAGCTGTTGTTATTTCAGGTGTATCATTATGATAGCCAAGAACAGTCAGATCAGTTTCTGAAACAAAAACAAAAAAAGTATACATACATATATATATATATATATATATATATATATATATATATATATATATATATATATATATATATATATATATATATATATATATATATATACATATATATACATATATATACATATATATATACATATATATACATATATAATGTGAACAATAACATATTTTACCTTCAAAGTTTTGTTGTTATTTTTCTGTAATAAAAACTTAAAAGCGGCTATTTCCTGAGATCAGATCCCTATTTTGATTGGACGAAAAATTTGACTAGCGCTAGGTCCGAAAAATTGTTTCTCGTTAGCCGGATATATTTTAACTTGCTTAATATAAAACATATATGCCTTTTATATATGTTCTATTTACGCAAATATTTACCAGCAGACCACGCTGCAATTTTTTTATGTTGATTTTTCACAGAATCGTTGCTAAAGGTAAAAATTATATTATAAAAAGATTACGATGGTAAGTTTTGAGAGTTATATTAGCATCTTTAATATTATTGCTAAACAAAAACTAGAATTTTCATTATTTACATAATTAAAGTTTCTTGTACTTTATATAAAATTATATTAGCATATTTAATATTACTGTTTTACACATCACTTTTATATTTAAAGTAGTCTTTAATTTCAAATTTAATAATATATGAAATTGTTGTGCATTTTATATTTGAGAAATGTAACATTACACAAGATGACTTTGTTTCATAGTTAGTTCAAATATAACACAATATTTTTAGCATTATTTTTATATATTTGTTATTGTTTTATAAGTTTTACAAACTGGATTTGTGTAGGCATGAATGCATATGTGAATGTATATGTGATATATTTTCTAATCTTTAATCATAAATGAATTATGATTAAAGATTAGAAAATATATCACATACAAACAAACAACAATAACAATATATTTCGTGTTACAGATGTTACAAAAACACAGGTCATTGCAAACAGTGATTCACTAATAAAGCGCAATGACCTAAATAAAATAAAAAGAAATAATAATAATAATAATATGTAATAAGTAAAACCACATAAAAAAGTAGTTTATAAAAGAAAGTTAAGTTAAATAAGTATAAACATAATAATAACTAATAAAAGTAAAATTGCATAAAAGTTTATTAAATTATACCAAAAAAATCAGTTTTTTAATATATATATATAACAATTAATATAATGTACATTTATATATGCACATATACTTAAACAAGAATTATAATTAAATAACTAAGTTATAATAAAAATAAAATATTAAAAATAAAATTAAAATATATAATAAAAATAAGTCAAAAGATAGAAAGTAAAAAATTCAAAAGTAAAGTTAAGCGTAACCTTCTAGGTAGAAATGATGGAGTGATTTTAAGAACAGATTCTTGAACCTAAGGATGAGACCTGATTTTAGGGTGTTTTTTTTAGAAAAGTTAGTATTTTGAGTCTTAAATATAATTATTTCTGATTTTTTTAGTATTCAATGAGATTTTATTTGCTCTAAGCCATTGAACAAGACTGGGCATATCCTGATTAATATATTTATTAAGTTTTTTGAGAGAGTTTGTTATTAATTGTAGATTAGTATCATCAGCAAAATGATACGTTTTTGAATGTTTGATAGAAAGATTGAGATCATTATTATAGATAATAAAGAGAAGAGGACCTAATATGAATCCCTGAGGTATACCAATTGAACCATTTTCAATATCTGAGCTGGTTCCATTTATAGTTACAAATTGTTGACAATCAGAAAGGTATGATCTAAACCACTGCAAGGGTATGCCACGTACACCATAATAGTTAAGCTTTAAGAGAAGAATTTCATGGTCTATGGTGTGCATACATACATAATATATTTGTGTACATACATACATATTTGTGTGCATAAAATATATTTGTATGACAGGTTGGCATGCATTCATGCCTACACAAATCCAATTTGTAAACCTTATATTAAATGATTATTTTTTACTTTTACAAACTTTTTTTACATAATGTCTAGTTTGTTTTTAAACTACTTTAGACTACTTGTATTATTATCGAAATAGATTATTATTTTATTTTAATAGTGAGCATTTATTATTGTGAGATTATTATTAATAGTGAGATTATTATTAATATTGTTAGATTATTATTAATAGTGAGAGTTTATTATTGTATTGAAATTTTCATGCAGTTGAAAAGTAGCTTAAATATATAATATCTTTGCAATGGAAAAAGTACTGTTAGACCAAAATTACTTAAGTAAAAGTAAAAAAAGTGCAGTATATTAAAAGTTCTTTTTAGACACACTAAACAGGCTTGGTCGGGAAGCGGGAGCGATTGCTCTCGAATACTGACCACAGTAATTATATTTAGTTGCGAAAAACTGGCCAGGTAGTTTAGTTGTTTTGAGAAAATTTAAGTTTATGTACGAAACAAAATATTTTTGTATTGCGGACATACATGGAAACATAAAAAACTTGAATGTTCTCAAAACATCTTTGTGCAAAATAGTAAAAAGAATATTCACAAACACTAAAAACCCGCCAAATTAACGAACAAACTAATTCTATTGGTTCAAAAAATACGCTGATTAAGCGAAATAAAAAGTATTCTTTTTTTGCTTTTTAAAATGTTCTCAAAGCAACTAAAAAATCTTGCCAGCTTTTTGCAACTAAATATTATTTACATGGTCAGCAATCAAGAGCGATCGCTCCCGCTTCCCGACCAAGCCTGATTAAAGTGCTTTTATGTGTTGCTAAAGTAAATACATTCTTTGTTAAATAAGATAACATACATGAGAAGGAACTTTTAAATTATCGTTAAACAAAACAATTAAATCTATTAGCTTAAATATTATTGTTCTAATAAACTGGCGGGTTTAGCATATTCTTCTATTAATGCACAATTTTAAACAACAGCTTCTGTTGTTTAAAATATTCATCTATCATTCTAGTTGTTTTCTTGCAAAGAATTGTTTAGTTTAGTTTAAGAAAAGATTTTTGTCTTGGTTTAGTTTAAGAAGGAAGAAATTATATAATTCTATGTTTAGTTATGATGACATTATTTGTGATTATTTAATTTAATTATAATTATTTGTAAACTAATTTGTATGCCTGTGTAATTAATTTTGTATTATTTGTATGCACCTATTTAAACATAAGTTATTATTTCTTTTGACTGTTTCACCTAAAAATCTAGCGTAAACTTTATAAATAAATGTTAAAATACTTTTCTTTTTATTCAAAGAATACATGGCAAAACTTAAACCCTCAGTTTTGTATGTACTCTCTGCAACTACATTTATATCAGTCAATTTATGCGTGCATTGATGAACTTATTCTATGAAACTTTTAAAAAGTTAAAATAATTAATAAACACTATAAATAAACAAAAACTATAGCTAAAAGTATAAAGTTTACTTAGTTTTAAAGTTTTATTATTTCGTAATAAAATTTTGAAATTAAAATAAAGTTTCCTTATAAGAGTTCAAACCTGAAACTTTTCAGCTGCGACTCTTGTGCGACAACACCAAGAGCGCTACCTCAGCAAATTGCCTGAAATAAAATTTAAATATTTAAAAAATTTTCAACAACTCGTATAATTTTCTGTTTACTTTGCAGTACTCATTTTAAGTATATCACATATTGCATTTTTATAAAAATGTTATTTTTTAAATCAAATTATTTCTTCAATTAGCTTTTGCTAAATAAAGCTAACATATCAATAAAAAAAATTTCAAACAAATGAGATTCTTATTTATAATATTTTATTATTTATATATATTTTACTATTTACACAAAATGCATTTATATTTATGTATTTTAAAAATATGACCTGAATGATCACTACTTATAGTTGCAGGTATGATATGTAAATCTTTTGTTTCATACTGCTGGTATATATGCTGAACTAAAGGCTTCATAAAAGAGACATACCATCTATGATAATTTAAAATACATCTCATTTACCAGATACACAAAATAAAGCAAACTAATGTAGAAAACAAGTATGCCAAACTTTATTGAATACTTTAGATATGTCTAGTGCAATAGCCCTTGCCTTGCTGTCACCATCTAATGCATAATAGAATTTACAGTCACAGCAATTAGTAAGTCAGCCATATAACGATAAGAACAAAAACCATGTTTGTTTTCAGAGTGTGTTAGATGCAAGATAGCAGCCCTTCAAATTAGGAAAGATAAAAAAAAACCTAAAACTGTTCGACGTTTGCTTAAAGGGACTACCAAGTCCCGAGACATGTTGTGTTCATATTAAAGGGAATGTTACAAAAAAACGTCTGAGCAAATTTTTTTGGATTAAAACTAATTAATAAATGTATACCAAGAAAAACAAATCTTGTTGTTTTAGTCGAAGCTCGTCTTCTCCGTTTTCTCTGGTATTTTGAGTATGTAAAATAAACGTGATTTTCCAGGCGCAATATACAGACTTGATAATTTATTCAAGCGCGTTTTATTCATAGAAGTTTTAGTGCATGACGTCATAGATTTTTTTTTTTTGTTTGTTTAAAACAATTTCCAAATCATATTCATTTTTATTATATTTTAAAGTTCTAAAATGTGTTTGTAAAACAAAATTAAAAACAAAATAAAATTAAAAATGAAAATAAAATAAAAAACAAAATAGTATTTTATTTGCGCAACTTTTTTTAAATAATCGCCTAGACCACGTGTATTTTGATTTCTTTTGTTATAAGTTTTTCTTTCAAAATATTAGATAAAATAGTTTTTAACCTAAATAATAATGCACTTTTATTAATTTACTTTGTAAATATTAAAAAAAAAAATATTAACGCATTTTTTCTCTGATTTTCAAAAATGTATTTTTTGGTATTGAGGTGATCTTCTGATTTCATTATTTATATTTCCATTATAACATCCAATACATATTACGGCGGGGGCTTAAAAATTAAAAAATTAATATATAATAATTTTTATTTTACAGACATACATGGAAACATAATTAACTTTAATGTTCTTAAAATATCTTGCGGAAGAATAAAAAGAATATTCGCGAACACTAAAAACCAGCCAAATTTGCGAAATAACTAATTCTATTGGTTCGAAAAACACGCTGACTAAGCGAAATAAAGTTCTAGAGAATTCTGTTGAAATGTTTTAGGAATTGTATTATTTACGATTTATTGCGTTTTGAGATATCTAGCATAAATTTTTTTAAGAATATATTATCAAATGAACTATTACTTTAATATTATGGCTCATTCTCGGAGCCACATCTGTAAAGCCGTAAAACTTTTAAACTATTATCATTTGTTTACAAAAATAAATGTTTTATAGTATATATTTTTTAAATTGTCAAAATTTTGAAAGTTAATTACAAATTATATATTTTATTAGTATATTCTTAATTTTTATATCTTTTCTTAATGCTTGATTTAATTAATTGTTCGTTAGATTTGTAAAAAACTAACAAACAATTAATAAAATAAGCTTTCAATAAAATA